GGGTTGCGATCCGTTGCTGGTCACGAAAAAAGACAAAAAGGGGAAAAAAAAAAAAAAAAAAACTTAAACTGAAGGATAAACACAAAGGAGCCAGGAGGCACCAGCATAAGAGGGGAGCAATAGCATTCCAGGAAGAGGAAACAGTCTCAGCAACAGCCCTGAAGACAGTAAAAGCCTTTCTGGGGAAATAAAAGGCAGCCAGTGTGACTGGAGCCTGGTGAGGCCAGATCAGATCTGCAGGGCCTGGCAGATGGGGCTAGGACAAGGTCGTTGGGGGGACAGATATGAAGACCAGGGCAGTACATGGGGGAATAATCATAAGATGCAGAGAACACCCTCCTCCCAATAACTTGGAAATAGAAAAAGAGATCATCATTTGAGTCAACTGCTGAAGAAACAGACCAGAACAGTTATGCTCAGCCTCCAGGCCAAGACTGTAAGTAACCTTTTTGGAGGCTGTGGCAAAATATTATCCTCAAAAGTCAAAGATGTTAAATAATTTGCCTCAAATCACAAAGCAGAGGCAGCATGGAACCCAGGTCTGACTCCAAAGCCTCACTCTTAAACATGACTCCATGTTACCACACAGAAGGGTTGCCTGTTGGCCGTGGACATAGCAAAGAGACAGTTTGAGAGACAAACTCTAGCACTGCCTTCTAGCACTCAAGTTGAATCCAGGCAAGAGTACCCTGGTCCAAGAACCCAGCTTTGCTGGTTTTTGTTTTGGGTGGCTGGCTGGTATGGGGATCCAAACCCTTGACCTTGGTGTTACAAGGCAGTGTTCTAACCAATGACCTCAATGTCCAGCCCAGACAAGCTACAGGAAATTTTTTTTTCTGGCAGCTGGCCAGTACGGGGATCCAAACCCTTGACCTTGGTGTTATGAGGCCAAGAAGCCAGCTTTGGTAGTTACCTGTAGATCTGCTCCTATGGTGAGGGTGGGTCCTCCACCTTCCTGTCCAGCTGACCCCAACCACCAAGATTACCTTTCCCTGCTCCCTTTGGCTGGCAACTGGGCTTCCCAAAAAGCATATCCCTAGGAGAGGATCAGCAGATTGGCAACCACCGTCAGTTCCTGTCACCCCGCAAATCTGGTTTTAGGGACTTTGGACCCTGGGGGAAAGATTTGTGACAAATGAGGGTTCTGGCTGGCTCACCCAGGCAATTCTGTCCAGTGAGGGTTGTTGAGTGACCAGCTGCTGTACCTTAGTGGTCATCTAACTTCGCCGGGAGCACCTTTGACATTCACTGCAAAGCTAGAATATTGCCATGTGCCCCAGAGGAGGGCATACCTAACTCAGCCAGGCAGGAGGTCACAGAGGTAATGTCATAAAGGGAGAATAGCTGTTCAAGTTGTCCCCACCCCAAACCCCTCCTCCCATTAACATTACCTTGTCCCCCCCTTCAAGAGACCCCTTTGGCCATCTGGAGGAAATCCTTTAAAAGCTCAGCTCAAAGGCCAGCCCCTCTTGAAGCTTTTCCTGACACCCTCTCATAGAAATACCTGCTCCAGCCCGCCCCCCAGACTTCCAACAGTGAATACCAGACACTTCAGTGGACCTCTTTACACACCTAGCTCTTTCACTGGACCCCCAGGTCTCTTCACAGCAGGCATAATGTCATCCCCCATGCCCAGCACATTGGAAGTTAACAGCTTAGATACTGGGCTGGTGGAACAAATGACTATTGTTCATTAGGTACCTGTGGCAGGACCACCTCAGATTGTTCACAGATTAGGAAACCTGAGGCAGAGTATAAACAACTTGCCCAAATTCAGCAAGACCTAGGACTCAAACACAACTTTTATTTTGTTTTTGTTTGTTTTACTTCAGGTGTCATCAAAAAGATCTAGCACTATCCAATAGAATTTTCTGCAATGATAGAATCGTCTATATACATTGCTGTCTGCCATGGTAGGTACTAGTCACTTGTAGCTACTGAGCACTTGAAATGTCACTAGTTACACTAAGGAACTGGATTTTGAACTTAATGGTAATAATTTAAATCTAAATAGCCACACATGGGTAATGATTACTGTTTTAGCACAGTTTGAAGTTTACTCTCTTGCTCACTGGCTGGAAGATTTGGGGCAAGCTGTTTCCTTATCGATGAAATGGGATCGCTGTTTCTCTGAGGTTACCTTTTAGCTCAAATGAGATTACATGAACAGCACCAAAGCTCTGTATAGGTAGAGAGAGCAGTTTCAGGAATGGGTAGTGCCTGGACTTCAGTGGGGGAGGTTTCTGGGGGGGCCCTTGGCATGGATAATGGTAAGACCAATAACAGGACTTCACCGGTGGGGAGCTCCAGGCCCAAGTGCCAGCCATATAGTCTCAAGGAAAAAAGCCCCACCTCCCCTCCTTTCACATATACACACAGAGCACAGACCTCATGCAGCCCCAAAGGGGCAAGAAGAGACTTTAATTAAGGGAGGGAGGATTCACCAGAATCAGAAAAGGGACAGCGAGCATGGGAGAAAGGGAGCCAGAGCAGGCAGGAGGAGGACTCACCTCTCCACCTCTAGCACAGGCACTGCACTGACAGAAAAGGCGAAACAGTGGCCCGTCTCAGCTGGAAGGGCACCAAATGGCCTCTGTAGCCAGAGGTTGCCTGGCTTTTGGGCCCCAGCTCTTATGCATGGCTGCTGGTCACCAATACAGCCCTTGTCCCCAACCACTGCTGAGTGGCCATCTTCAGGCAGAGGTCAAGAAGCTGGTCCCCACCACTTCTGCTGGGCCCAAGGAGGCTTGGGAATAGAGGGCAACGGAGAGGAACTGGAATCTGAAACCTCCCTCCCTCCCCACCCGGAGTGGCACAGGGGAGAAAAGGTAGTCGCCTTCTGGCTCCAGGCCCGCCCAGACCCACAGCGACCAATAAGGTACAATCACTGGGACTAGTCACAGCCACTGGAGGTGGAGGTTGTTTGTTTACCAAAAAAAAAAAAAAAAAAAAAAAAAAAGACAGAAAGGTTACAGTCTCCTACAAGCACAGAGTTGAAGGTTCAAGACGTTAAAAAAAAATCTGTCCCAGCCCAGGGGACTGAACATCAGAAGCCAGCCTGACCAGGCACATGTGGCCTTGGGGCAGGTCCATGCTGCTTTCTTGCCCAGCTAGCAAGCACACCACCCCCCTCCCGCATCTAATGCCCACCCCGACCCAGCTCCCCACTGCTGCTGATGCTGTGCGGAGTGGCTCCAGGATGCCTTTGCAGAGACACGGGGTGTCCGAGGGGGAAGGCCACAAGATCCAGCCAAACGGTTTAAAACTGTCAAGAGAACCAAGAAGCAGTGAATGGTAGTTATTACTGTATCCTGGTGGGCCTGTTCTGGGGAGATGGGCTAGTGTGAGGGGCAGGGTTGGGTCCCAGGATACCCTATGGGCCCCTCTTTCTAATTCAGCCAGCATTCAGCTGTGACCTATGGGGCCTAACCCTAGCACTACGCAAGGCAGAAAAATTAACAGTGATGAGGGCTTCTCCTCAGCTCGCCTGAGCCATGTCATGAAGGCTGCTACAGAGCTCTGCCATTGTCTTGCTTGGTGAACTGAGGTTACCTTCTTTAGACATGGGACTCACATGCAAGGAGTTAGGGGACTCAGAGGGCCAAGGGGAGAGGGACCCAGGATTTGGTACTTTGTGTCAAGATCTGGGTGATCCTCCAACCAGGACAGGCCCTTGAAATGTTTTCTGCCCTCAAATATCCCCCATGGTGCCTAGAATATTTCTGGACATTTTACAGACCAGAGGTTGTTAACCCATGGCTAAAAAACTGAACCAGCCCAAAGATAAGTACTGTTTGGCCCATACAGTGTTTAAAAGCATACGAATGATTTGCCGACCTTGAAAACAAGGAAGAAGCCATGTACAAATCCAGATTTGGGGATTCTTTTGAAAAGATGGAAGATGGAGCCATAATGGGCTGGAGTGTGTGGCAGTGATCCTCTTCAGACAAGGCAGGTGCTCATCAGGTCCCCACCAGGCCCATTTCACTCCTGTGCAACACCCGCCTGACCTCTGCATGCACCTGCATTGGTGACCCTGCCAGATGCTATAGTAGTGTCTGAGACATTTGAGCCAAAAACCTAGCTCCACTTTCTGGTTCCTCCTCCACTTACTGGCTGAGAAACCTTGGGCAGTTGTCTTCACTTCCAGGGCCCCAGTTCACTCATCTGTAAAATGGTGTTTAATGCCTGACTCAGAGATTGTTTTGAGTATTAAATGAGACATGTGAACATGCTTTTTCAGCTGTATAACTCTATAAAAATATAATTCTAATAACTAAATAATTGTTGAATGAATGAGCCAAACATTAAGTTGGGACATTTTCCCTCACAGTTCAATCTAGAGGCCTTCTAATGCCCTGGCCATAAAACTTCATGCTACAATACATGGAAAGCTTACTATGTACCAGGTGCTATGTTTTTCATATATGATCTCATTTAATGCTCAACAACTCTGAACGGTAAATACTTATTAACAGTATCTTCCTTTCACAGCTGAAGAAACTGAGGCTCAGCTGAGAGGTCCAGAGACATTCCTGAGTAGGCCATGGAGCTCGGATTCACATCCTGGTGGTCTGACCCCACAGCCCAAGTGAGCTGAACTCCCATGCTGCCCTATGCACACATACAGCCATTTGTACGCTGGTCACCCTCAGTATAATTAAACCCCAGGGGAAGTGGGAGTAATTTCCATTTTTAGGAAACTGAACTCCTTCTGTGCTGGGTCTGTATGTACTGGTAGGAGTAAACACTAAATCTACCACCTAGGGATCACAGTCAACTCTGAGTGGAACATGTCAACAAACCAAAGATTGTTTGGAAGAAGGAAAAAAAATAAGAAGGCATGTCCTGAATATCTAAACAAGTAGAACTATGTCATCAGTTCATCAATGTAAACAATTTCTCCCCAGAGGACTGCAGTCCTTTCGCCTGGAAAGGCACAAACAACTTAAGAGGAGTCTGAGGATTTAAGCTATGAAAGTGATGAAAAACAGGCGAAGAAATGACTTTAAGCCTGAGAAACAGACACTGAAGGAAAATATTTAAGTCTCTTTGAGAAGTGGAATTATACCATGATTAACTATAACTATGTTGCTAGAAAATTCACATGTGGACCTGACTTGCCTTACTTGGAGTTTAAATTTGACATAGGTAAGGACTTTGTGGACATTTTTTGGGGGGGGGGGGGGGGCTGGCCAGTACAGGGATCGAACCCTGGACCTTGGTGTTATCAGCACCACACTTTAACCAACTGAGCTAACCAGCCAGCCTGACTTTGTGGACATTTTAGATGTAGAACGAGTGTCTAAGTCCCTACAAGAGACTAAGAAGTCTCCCAGACACCAAGATATGGAAAGAGGCCTCAGGAAATAGAACCTACTGCTGGCACTACTTTCACACCAGCTGCTAAGTTCTCAACATGACCCGTAGTTTCTTCCACCTGTGGAAGGAAACCAGTAAGGCCCCCTACTTACATTCTTGAGGAACTCCTCAGCCACAATGCGTGCACGGGCATTGACCGACAGCTTCATCTCGCTGATCTCCTTGTCAATCTCCTCCATGAAGTGGATCACAAAGTCCACCAACTTGTGTTTGTACATCTGCTCTGTGTGGAAGTTGGTGATCAGAAAACTGATGTCATACCCCTATAGGAAGAAGACAGTAGGGAAAGAAGAAATGAGAGAATTCATGTTCCAAGAGCACTGAGCTGGCCATGTCCTCTACTTCACTCATCTACATGCTTCCAGATGGCTGGGATCTTCTCTCAAGCTACATGCTCTTTCAGTCAGCACCCCACCTGCCCTTGGGAGTATCTACGTTGGATCCAAGCAACTGCAGTCAGTTGAAAATTTTATGTATATGAGACGTTTCTAGAAGACAATGTGTGGCACAAAAAGCTACGCATTCAGAATGAGTCAAGGGAGAGTGAAGGAACTTAAAATCTTGTTACAGAAGAATCTACTCAAACAAAAGGGAATATTTAGTCTGGAGAAGAGATGACATGGGAGAGGGGTTGGAATGAGGTTTTTTACTGCTGGAGAGTTGTGTAAGGAAGACCAATTTTATTTATCTGGGTGGCCCCAGAGGTTAGATCTAGGACCAGGAGAGAATTTTGCTCAGGATGAAGAGCTTGGCCGACACGTCTGACGTGTCTGATGATGGTGTGTGCTGCTCTGCGGGGTAGCTGCTGTCACTGGGGATATGTTAAGTTGAGCTGGTAGGGAGCCTGTGGAGAGGATTCAAGTACAAAGTCAGGCAACAATTGACCCAAAGTAAACTGTGGCTTTGAGAGACTATGATTCAGTTGGTGGCAGAACTTAGAAGACATTTCTAATTCACTGTGCTGTTTCTTTTTTTTGTCTTTTTTGTGACCGGTAAGGGGATCGCAACCCTTGGCTTGGTGTCGTCCGCACCGCGCTCAGCCAGTGAGCGCACCGACCATTCCTATATAGGATCCAAACCCGCGGCGGGAGCGTCGCTGCGCTCCCAGCGCTGCACTCTCCCGAGTGTACCACGGGGTCGGCCCCACTGTGCTGTTTCTGCTGCTGGACTGTAGACTCTGGGATGATAGGCAATGCATCTTATCTTTTCTGTCTTTTCTACAGTTGAGGTAGACCTAACTTCTGAACTTCTGATCCCCCTTGCTCCCACTCCAGCTGAAATGAAGGCCAACTCTCAACTCAGGTAGTGGGTACCCTACAGCTGGAGGAACAGCAATCCTGGTTCTAGAAACAATCCCAGGCCACTCACTGATAGAATCCCAGGTAGTATATCACAAACACATGGATCACAAAGTCTCACCTCCACTGGTTTCCTTCGAAGAATAAAGAAGTTCTCTGCTCGCATCATCATGAAGCGCATAAACTTGTGACATAAAATCTTCTCGATCTCATCAGCCTGGTGAGAGCAAAGGAGAAACGTATTTCTCTAAAAATGATACCCTAGGAAAAAAATAGCCCTACAGGCCTGGTCTTCTGACCCAATTTCTCCCAGGCTTGCTGGAAGCGTGGTATTGGGAGCAATGACTGCCTGAACTTTGAACCATGGGGGAGTTGGTTGCCAACTGAAAGAAGGGTCTACCTTAGGGCCTCTCCAACTTAATGAGGCATTACTATGATCTCATCCTCACCCACTCAAGAGAGGTAATTCTGGCAAGCAAGAGTCTTATATCAGGTCTTTCGGAGTCCATACATCCATCCTCAAAGCTGTCTTTCCCTTTCTCATTTCACTAGTGCGTGCCAAAGTGTGTGGCACGTACCACCTGGGGTATCAGAGATAAACCTCTAGTAGACTCTGCTTTAATAACACTGAACATGAAATAATTCCCAAAGTTTCTCCCTTCTGAACTTCCTTTCAAATATTTTGAAAGGAAGAATTTTGCAGCTGGTGCTAATATGTCCTTAACACCTCCCAACAGCTTGTTAAGCTTCCATTTTAACAAAGAGAGCAGGCCCCAGGGTTAGTGCTTTCTGTAGGCAACAGTATCTGGTCTGAACTTAATGACATTGCTTTGTTTTTATTGTATTTATTTTTAGAGGTGCCCTCTGTTGTGGCAAGCCATACTGTTTTTCCATTTATGGTATAAAGTTTCTTTTCAAACAAACTTAAGTAAAGAAATAGTCAATTTAAAGAAATCTATTAAGTAAATAACTGTCCATGTGATATATAAATATGACGAAAATTACTGGGGTGGTAGGAACGATAGACATTTGTGAAACACTGCCTGAGGAAACACATACAAAAAATAAAACTTCGTTTTTTATATCAAGTCTCAGTTTCAGAGACAGTCGCTATCACATTGGTATTAGTACTGCTTATTTTTCTGTACTAGACTTATTTCTCATTCCTTAGGAATGGTTCTATGATCTGACACCAAACAGGCCCCAGGGAACAGATTTCTATCTTCTAATCCAGAGCAAGGCTTACATGATGGAGTTGCTCTCTCTTTTTACTTTACTGACCTGCTGAGTTTGGCAAATCATCTCCTGAGAACATTCAAGAAAGTAGAGCCTAGGTTTTTTGCACCCTGATCTCTTGGATGGGGACCACTGGCATGAAAGATAGCTCCTAACTTGGCCTCCTTTGTGGTGAACTCACCTGTTTCACAGCAATGCTGACCCGGACAGAGTTGATGGAGCCCTCAATCAGAACCTTTTCTTTCTCATTCCTGCTGATGGTCACGGGCTGTAGCAGGAGCTCTTTGCTACTCCTGAAAACATAATGCGATAGAGGCCTCTGTAGCATAAAAGGACGGAAAAGTCAGGGTGACCCCAGAGCAGGTCTTGGAATCACTATCTGAGACCATAGAGGCCAAGGAATAGAAGACTCACAAGCAGGGGTGCTCCAAGATGGGGGCCAGTGAGTGTGTTCTCCAGCAGAAAGAGCACAGGCTCTGGAATCAGGGCGAAAAGGTTTTGGAATCCAGCCTCCTCTGTTACTTTCCTTGGGCAAGTTACCCTGTTGGAATCTCAATTTCCTCATCTGTAAAATGACTCTGATGCCTATTTCACTGGCAAGGACTGAGAGAGATCAAAAAGGGTCAAGTGTCTAATAGCATGCCTGGCACATGGCAGGAGCTTTACAAAAGACAGCTGATTTTAATAACTATAGGCAAACCAGTATACTGTTTATGAAATGAGGAGAGAACCTCCCTTAGAAATGAGGACAGGTTAAAACTGAACACAGTTTGGCCTCCTTTAATTATCAATCCAGAATGATTCACTTATTCACCACTGAGACCCCCTATCGCTCAGGTCCCAAGCTGATGCCTCCAAATTCCTAGATATTTGTAACGGTAGTTAACTATGATGGCATCTGTGAGCTGTTATCATTTTAAAATACTTACTAGAAATCGTACATGTTAACTAGCCTAAGACTGCACATCCTCACATCTTAACAGTTTTTTTTAATTCAAATCAAATTATTTCACTTAATGTGGTAACATGGCTTATCTCAGTTATATATGTCCCAGATTAAATTTTAAAGAGGAAAAAGGGGCTGGCCGCTTAGCTCAGTTGGTTAGAGCACAGCCTTAAAACACCAAGGTCACAGGTTCAGATCCCTGTACTGGCCAACTGCAAAAATAAATAAATAAATATAATAAAACTTTTAAAAGGGGGGAAAAAGAGTACTTTGAAATGGAAACTAAATAATAGAAAATCATTCAAAATATGGAGTATTTGGAACAGGGGACAGAAGGGTCCAGGCTGGTAGGGGAAAAACGTCCTTCATCCTTAAATTAGTAAAGTGTGAAGATGGCATCTCAGATAACGGAATTCTCTGACCTCTCCTTAAACTACCAGTGGGTTCAATAATACCACAGGAGATGCTTCATGAACAGCTCCACTCTAAGAAGTCACACCTGTGTAAGCAATCTTGGCTCCAGAGGAGCTCAGATAACGGAATTCTCTGACCTCTCCTTAAACTACCAGTGGGTTCAATAATACCACAGGAGATACTTCATGAACAGCTCCACTCTAAGAAGTCACACCTGTGTAAGCAATCTTGGCTCCAGAGGAGCTTCTCCCCTGGGTTTTGTCCCACCAACCTACTGATCCTATTTTCTTAATTCCAAATCAGAAACCACTGTTCATCTGGCAGCAAAATATGTCAATTGTAGCTGTCCTGACAACTCCAGGACATAAGTTCATGGCAACCTCTGGACAGCAGCCATTCCTTTGTGCTGCACTCCCTCATCTCCACCCCGACCTTTTCCTTCCCTACCTGACTTCCACCTCCGGCTTGTTGTGTCGTTCAACGACCTGGGAGGAGAAGTTCTCCAGGCAGAGGGCAGCCTGCAGTGTGGCCCGCACGGCACTCAGGTAGGGGCGGAGAGTGGCAGTCTGTAGGAAAAAACCCAAGGGGTGAGGAAGATCAGAATCTGCCTCACCAAATCCACTTGCGCCTTACTATAGCTCCCACAGAGCCAGGCAGTACTGAAGGTGACCAGCTCTCAGAAACCACAGTGAACAGAACAGACTAGGCCTTTAAGGTGCCTTTCAGTCTAACTCCAAAGCAGTAGGTCTCAACAAGGGACCATTTTGCCTGCTAGGGGACAGTTACCAATGTCAAGACATTTTTGATTATCATGACTTTGGGGCAGGGTAGGGGGAGGTGCTTCTGTCATTGAGTGGACAGATATCCACTAAACATCCTATGATGCACCACAAAGAATTATCCAGCCCCAAATGTCCATAGTGCTGAGGCTGAGGAACTCTGGTCTAGAAGCATACACGTGAATGATTGTCCTCAATCTTATTAAGCCAAGTATAGGTCCACTGTTTGCCAGGCTCTGAGCTAGGTGGGAATTCAAAGATGAAGAGTATCTCTACACTCAAACAGCTCAACTGGGCAGGGGATATAGAGAAAATAACCATGATATAAAGGAGGATAAAATATAAACTAGACTTATAGGTAATCTACATTTGAGAAGAAACTGGTTTTGATTTGAAAATAGAAATAGGATTAGAAGTATTTAAGGATTTTATAATGAGAAAAAGTAGAATAAGGACATTCCCAGTAGAGGAATCAGACTCTAGCTACACTGGTCAGTTTCTTATATTGGCCAAGTACGTTCTCCCTTCAGGACTTTATACATGTCAAACCATCCTATCTGCAGGCTTTGCTCCTCTTCCTTTACCTAAGTCATCCTTGAGATCTCAGCTTGTTAGGGAAGGCCTCTTCCTTGCTCAGAGAGGCCTCTCTTGACTTCCCCCTGCATAGCATTTATTACAATTTACAATGACACATCCTTCATATGTCTTTTGTAAAGTGATTTCTCCTTCACTAGACTATAAGCCACATGGTCAATAGACCATGTCTATCTTATTCACAGCTACGAAGCATGCACCTAGTTCAAAACCTAACATATTCAGTATCTTACTCATTTTCTGTGCTGCTGATAAACACCAAGGTCAAGTTTGATTCCTTGCACCAGGCAGCCACACATACACAAAATAATACCGCCACCACCAACAACTTAAGCAAAGTTAGAATAACACAAAGGGGCATTAAGAGTTCCAGCAACAGTAATGAGTACAATGTTTCTATATATGGGAAGCATTTTAGATTCAGTAGATGAGGTAGGGTAGGTTGGGGTAAGATCAAGGGGAATCTCAAATGCCAAGCTACTGAGTTTAGCTTTTCTTTATTTTTTGGCAGCTGGCTAGTATGGGGATCCAAATCCTTGACCTTGATGTTACAAGGATGCCCTCTAATCAACTTGAGCTACCAGCCAGTCCCTAGCTCTTCTTTTAATGTGGTAAGAAACTACGGGGGCTTTCTGAGGAGGAAGTTACACGACTGCAGCTGCATGGTGGCTCTGTGCAGAAAGCATTAGAGAAGGAAGTGAGACATACAGCAGAGCACTGATGAGGGCTTGGACTTGGGGAAGTAGAGAGCATCACAGGGGTTGGAGTGACATTAGATGTAGAGGACAACGGAATCATAAAACAACTCCCAACAAACTATGGTTCATCCATACAATGAAATACTACTCACTAATAAAAAGGAATATCTACCGATACACAAAACATATAATCTCAAATGTATTATGGTAAAAAGCCACATTAAAAAGCATGTATAGTGAAGAATACCCTTTATATGACAATCTGGAAAAGGCAAAACTGTAAGAGGAAAAAAATCAGTGGTTGTCTGGGGGTGCCAGGGAGAGGAGGGGACTGATTATAAATGGACTTCAGGGAACTTTTTGAGTAATGAAAATGTCCTCTATGCTTGATTATAGTAGTGATTACATGACTTTCCATATTCATAAACAGTAAATCTAAAAAGGGTTAATTTTAGGTGGCCAGTTTTGTGACTCCTGTTCTTTCAAGAATTAAACACACATAATTTTTTGTAATACCTCAATAAACTTGAATTTTTTTTTTTTTAAAAAGATGACCGGTAAGGGGATCTTAACCCTTGACTTGGTGTTGTCAGCACCACGCCCAGCCAGTGAGCGAACCGGCCATCCTTATATGGGATCCGAACCCGGGGCCTTGGTGTTATCAGCACCGCACTCTCCCGAGTGAGCCACCGGGCCGGCCCCAGTAAACTTGAATTTTTAAAAATCAAGAGGCATGTCCTCAATCAGACAAAAAGAAAACCCCAGTGAGGTAGGAGTACACAGAGTTAGCCAGGAAAGGGAACACAGGAGGAAGAGCAAATCTGGAAGAGAAAATGAGTTTTAACTAGAGGTCTAATTTCAAGGTGTCTTCAAGATATCCAGGCAAAGCAAAAAAAAAAAAAAAAAAAAAAAAAAAAAAAAATCCAGGTGCACCTTAAAAGTGAGGCAGGAAGGCCAACTGAGGAGTCACCAGAACATACTAAGTCATCAAAGCCAGGAGACTAGATAGGTATCACCAGCGAGAATGTAAAGAGACGGAAGTGGAGCCAAAGTCACAACTCCCAGGAACGCCCACATGAACAAATGGGAGGACTTCCAGGAAGGGAGGGATCAGCGGTATCCAAGCTTAGATACAGTAAGGTTGACACAGCTCAGTTCTGACCAGGAAGGGACCTGAGTGGAGGCAACACAAAAGAGATCCTTCAGTAGGATAAAAGCAAGGCTGGAGCTGCCGAGAAGAGTGGGATAAGGAAGTGTGGACGCCTGCCTGCCCTGGAAAACTGGGGTCAAGAAGACAGGACAGGACACGGGGGTGTATTTAGGAAGCTCTACTATGGATGGGGAGGTGGCCCTACTACCCACCTCAGCAGCCCTACGACTGGATACAAGGCCTACTATGTGCCTTCGAGGCGCTACAAGCCTAGGAGGCCCGCTTCCTGCTTCCTCCATGCCTCAGGAATATTCCCTACCTGCCTCGAAAGCCCGACCATGAAGCCTCAAGGCCTGCTTCCCAGCAGCGAGTCGCCCCGCTCGCCCCTTCCTCACTTTGGCCCCCGCCCTACCCTCTTTCTCCCACGCTCATTGTGCCCCCACAGACCCCGGCATCCCTCAACCCCAGGCCTCCGCGGCAAAGCCGCATCTCCCCCAGGCCCACAGCCTAGAAGAAGAACACCGGGGGTCTCCGGTCCAAGGCCCGGCTCTCTCACCATCGCGGGCGCTGGCTGGGCCGGAAAGCGGAAGTGCGGAAGTGGCCAGCTCTCGACGCCTGTCCTTTCTCGAGAAGCGCAGCCGCAGTCTCCGCCCAGACTTCCGGGCGGTACGATCTAGGTTCCGAGCGGGGGGGAGAGGGGGCCTGGGATCACCTGGACCTTTGGGAAGTTTCCCGCGCTAGAACTATCTTGGTACTGATACAAACTCCTGAGTTGTCAACCGCTACTCAAGCTTCTCCCGGTAACCATGGAGCTCTCGCTCGTGCCTTCGGCTTTCTGGTCGCTTTTCCCTCAGCCTCCCCCCAGTTATGCTATGGTACAGTCGACCTCAGGTTGGGCACCAACTTAGGACAAGCCCAGGCGGAGGGGCCCTCCTTTCCTTCCGGTTCTGCTCCCCCAACCTTTCTCCGGGCCCCTCCTCCCTGCCGCCCCTGGGGCTCCGCGGGACTAACCGCGGAGCTTAGATCTCGGCCGCCGAGCCCCGCCCCCCGAGCCCGGGCTGTCTTGTAGCCTTCGCCCGTGGCGTACCACCCCCGCCCCGGCTCCAGGGGCTGGCTCACGGCCCGCACCCCTCCCTCCACCCCCCAGTGGGCTCGCCCTCCCCGTCTCCGCGCCCTCGCGTCAACTGCTGGGGGCTTGCTCATAGCCAATTCCGGACGGTTGCTCCTGCCAACGGGAACTCCACGCCCCCTCCCGCGGCCCGGGGGCCGTAGGAGGCCGTGGTGAGGAGGTAGAGGGGGCGGGGGCGGCGTTAGGGGCTCCTTAGAGGATGGGGACCCTGGAGGAGGGACATTGATGCGACCCACAGGTGGGGCCAGCCATTAAACCCACCCACTTCTTCTGTACCAGGCACTGAACTGGGCTCTTGACGGGCATCATCTTTTAATCCTGAGAACATCCCAGGGAGGTACGTACTGTTGTTATCCCCATTTTACAGATTAAGACTTTTTATGGGGAGATAGACTGAGACTTCTTTTTTCCTTATTTTACAGATGGAAAAACCGAGACTCAGAAAGGTTAAATAGTATGTTAAGGGGCATATAAGTAGGGAATGGTAAAGCCGGGACTTGAACTCAAGTCTGTCTGGCTTACCAGCCCACGTTCCAAACCACTATCAGGAGCATAGAAAAAGGGAAAAGGTGGAGTGTGTGAGAAAAGGTGAGAGTGGAACTCAGAGGCTTAGAAAAACCCAGGAGGAATAGAACTAAAGGAAAGAGTATCAGAAATACAGAGCATAGTGCTGTATCATGGTGGTTAGGGGTGCAGACTCTAGACTACTTGGGTTCAAATTCCATCTCGGGTTCGAATCCCCATACCCACCAGCGACAACAACAACAAAATTGCATCTTGGAAGCTTAGGTCTGTACCCACCCTTACAGTGTCTCAGTTTCCTTCTCTGTAAAAAGGAGATCATGGTGTTCACTGCTCACAGGGTTGGGTGAAGAATCCACCACCTGGCTTGGCACACAGTGGGTGCTCTGTAAGAGCTGTGCCATCAACCTCATCAGTAAGGGTACTGAAGCCTGGCTTCCTTGTTGAGGCTGTCCCTGGATGGAAGAAGCCTTGGGCTTTTCTTATGCCACTTTGTTGCCCATCAACCACCCTCTCCTCTCCAGCCCCACAGGGTCCCATATCTTGGGCCATGAGTGAGTTGAAGGACTGTCCCTTGCAGTTCCATGACTTCAAGTCTGTGGACCACCTGAAGGTCTGTCCCCGCTACACAGCAGTGCTGGCCCGCTCCGAGGATGATGGCATCGGCATCGAGGAGCTGGACACTCTGCAGCTAGAGCTTGAGACCCTGCTTTCCTCTGCCAGCCGGCGCCTGCGCGTGCTCGAGGCTGAAACCCAGGTGATACCCCACAGAGGGGACATCACCAGAGATGGACTATGACAAGTTATGGGATGGGTCATTGAGTTAGCTCCATCTGCTGAGGCCCATGGTACAGGTGACTATTGGGGGGAGAGAGAGAGACCCAAACTGAGCTTGTGTGACACGTAAAATACACAAGAATGTGTGTGATTCTCATAGATTACAAGATTTCTAATTCACTAGGCTTTTATTCGCCTGACTCCCATTATGTTCTGGGTCCTGTGCTAGACATTAGAGAGAGGTAATTAGGACAGTTTGGCCATCAGGGAGCTTGCCAGCTAAAGGGATGGAGTGGTCAGATAAGTACCAAGTGATGTGGTGTTATGGTTAGGAGTAATAGGGGACTAGAATGGGGAGACCTGGATTTGAATCCCTGCCTAAGCATTTGCTAATGTTACTGTTTCCTAGCTACGTGACTTTCAGAAAATGGCCTCATATCTCTGAGCATCAGTTTCCCTATTTGCAAAGTAGGCTGACTAAGAGGCCCTATCTTAGAGCTTTTGTGAAGATAGAGAATTTTTGCAAAGGCTCAGCCGGATGTCTGATACTAAGTAAGCATTTCAAACGTTATTTATTGGTACTACTCTGATTATTTTTATTTATTGCATAAACATCCCTTGAGCCCTGTGTGCCAGGTGCTATGCTAAATCCTGGGGAATAAAGATGGTTAAGATACATTTTTGATCCCAGTAGTTTATAGTCTAGTTAAAGAGATGGGGTGCGCTGCTTATTCCAGTATGACCAAACAACATGATTGGGTCTACAGTGGAGGTGCGAAGTGTCGGAGACTCATAGAGGAAGGAGAAGCCATTTCAGCTGGACCTCCAAGGATGGAGAGAATTAACTTGTGGTCCCTGGGAATCCACGGAAGCTTTCTGAGGAGGGCTGTGGCACAATCAGTTGAATTTTAGCATCTAAGAAGGCGGGTAACTAATGTGGAGAAGACTTCCCAGTTGTAGTGACATTTGAAGTGAGAGTTTGCTGGGAGGCTTTGCCTGCCTTCGCCAGAAAGTCACTGCCAGCATATTTCCCCAGGGTTAAAATGTGCTAAGGTATGATTGTTTATTTGGCCCTTCACGTGACTGGATTGGGTGATAGAGAGGTGACTTAGAGTACAGGCAAACAAGTATATGGAATGTTGAGAAGTATGTGAATAAAGCCCTCTGAGAAGGGCATGGAAGAGGAGCTGAATTTTGAAGGTCGAATAAGAGTTTGTCTGATAGGGAAAGACCTTGGAGCCTCCTTGGATTCTAGATCCTAATTTATTCACTGGGAGAGAGTTATCCGGAGTCTTTCCTTCTCCCCCTCAGTTACTGTGTCCGTAAATTTCAGATCCTCACTGACTGGCAAGATAAGAAAGGTGACCGACGATTCCTGAAGCTGGGTCGAGAGCATGAGCTTGGAGCTCCCCCCAAACATGGGAAACCCAAGAAGCAGAAACTAGAAGGGAAGGCAGGACATGGACCGGGCCCTGGTCCCGGGAGGCCCAAGTCCAAAAACCTTCAGCCCAAGATCCAGGAATATGAATTCACTGATGACCCCATTGATGTGCCTCGGATCCCCAAGAATGATGCCCCCAACAGGTTGTGATCCAGGGGGGCCTTAGGATTCTGGCCATGGAGGCTCTAGGGGGGCCTTGGGCAGAGGGGCACTCACTCAGAATCTGCTTCTCCCTGCAGGTTCTGGGCTTCAGTGGAGCCCTACTGTGCTGACATCACCAGTGAGGAGGTGCGCACACTAGAGGAGCTACTGAAACCCCCAGAAGACGAAGCTGAACATTACAAGGTAGAAAACCTAGTAGGCTGGCTGGTTAGCTCAGCTGGTTAGCTCAGCTGGTTAGCTCAGCTGGTTAGAGCATGGTGTTGTAACACCAGGGTCAAAGGTTAGGATCCCTATACTGGCCAGCCACCGAGAATATAAAATAAAGAAACAAGGTAGAAACCCTGGGCCTTGATAGACATGGTGGAGAACAGAAAGGCTCAGAGGCATCTCAAATCAAAGATACCAGAGATGTATCATCTTCCTTCCCCTGTCCTGCCTGGCATTTCTTCTGTTCCTCAACCCACCCAGACACCCACGCTCAAGCTCTCAGCTTTCCTTGCACAACTTCCCCTCTACTGCAGCCTCAGGCATCTATCTACTTCAGTGAAGGCCATCCCTGTCCCCTCATCTCCATCCCGTCTGCCTTGGTTCAAGCCTTCATCAGCTTTTTCCAAACAGTCTCAACACTCTCCCTGCCTTTAGGCCTCCAGAAGGACCTTTCTTTTTCTTTCTTTAATATATAAATCTTTATTTTTTTATGATGGAAATAAAACATGCTCCATAAAAAAAAATGTAGAAAATACAGAAAAGTGTTGGGGGAGCTCTTCCATAGGTCAGCTGTCACGATCAGGTGTGCTCATGACATGGCCCTGCTTGCAGGCCTCTCCTGGCTCCCGTTAGTCATTGGATTGAGTCCAAGTTTTTCAGTCCTTGCTGGCACAGCCCCAGCACCCGACTCCATTTTCTTTGGTCACACTCCTCTTCACTGCTGCATTTGCCAGCCGCACCAAGTACATTTTCCTCACCCTAGGCCAACACAGGGTCCTTGCTGTTCTCTGGGCCTCTGCGTAAGCTCTGTTAAGGGGAGACCCTTAACAGACTGACTCACGCCTCAGGGTCCTGATCTCATATTACTGCCACCAAAATGCCTTTTCACATTCCCCAGCAAAATGTTGGTTTTTCCTTTGTGCATCCATAGAACCTTGATCTACTTCTTTCACTTACCTAAATTTTTAAAAAATTTATTTGAAAAACTACATATTTAGGCAGTAGTAAGTTCAAGCAATACAAAAGATAATTCCCTTTCACCCCAGACCCAAAGATCCCTAATTCTCCTCTCTAGAGGCAATAGCTGTGACCTGAGATGATCCATGTACGCACAGTATTCTGCACCTTATGTCTTGGGAATTGTTCCATGTCGGCTTCTGTGTGTGTTTTACTTCTTTATGTACCTGTCTCCATTACTAGAGTGTGAATTAGAGATTTTATGTCCTTTGTCCCTTCTCACCTATACCTGGCACCAGCCTTGGCCCTGGGCTAGGGACTTGGGAGACAGATAAGGGAATGAGTGAATGAGGGAATGAATGAAAAAGTGTGGTTTATTTTTTTTGTTGTTGTTTGGTTTTTTTTTGTTTTGGCGGCTGGCTGGTACAGGGACGGGAACCCTGGACCTTGGTGTTAGCAGCAGCACACACTAACCAAGTGAGCCAGTGGGCCAGCTGAGTGAAAAGCTTATTGGCAATGCCCAAGTGCACAGAGATCGCCACGTAGTTCAGGCATGGCTGTCCAGTGTTTACCCGCTCAGGGCTGGTGGTATCTCTCCCACAGATCCCGCCCCTGGGAAAGCACTACTCCCAGCGCTGGGCCCAGGAGGACCTGCTGGAGGAGCAAAAGGACGGGGCCCGGGCAGCGGCTGTGGCTGACAAGAAGAAAGGCATCATGGGGCCACTGACTGAACTGGACACTAAAGGTAGGCCTCTTCCCCCCCTGCCCAGCCCACGCCAGGGCTTAAGTTCCCAGAATGTCAGCTCATCTGCACTCCTCTTCTCTGCCCACTTCAGATGTGGATGCCCTGCTGAAGAAGTCTGAGGCCCAGCATGAGCAGCCGGAAGATGGGTGTCCCTTTGGGGCCCTGACGCAGCGCCTCCTGCAGGCCCTGGTGGAGGTGAGCACCCCAATGAAAAGTGCATAGATCATAAATGTATAGCTTGATACATTTTCACAAATGAGCTTGTATTACCAGCCTGGAGATCACAAAATAAAACATTACCATATGCTAGAAGCCGCACTTATGCCCCTCCCAGTCTGTAACCCCCTCTGAATGTATCCACTATTCCACAGTTACTTTTACTGAGTGTTGACCAAGAGTTGAGGCCTGTACAGGAGCTGTCCACATATCCTATCACTGGAGATAAGGACAGTAGTTAGCCCTGGGTTACACATAGGAAAACTGAGGCTCAGAGAAGTGAACTCTTTGCTTGAGGTCACACATAGAGGCAGGATTCAAACCCCAACTTGAGGGTCTCTGTATACCCAGTGGCCGACCTTAGGCACACCCCTTTACCTCATTGAGCCTGGATATTCTCTTCTGGCTCAAACATAATGGTTTATTTATCTCTCATTTAACAGTCTGGGGCACATGTTACAGGTTGAATAAGATAGGGGTAGGAGAAGGTCCCTTCCCCACACCATCAGACAGGGACCCCAGACAGGGACCCCAGCTTTGTACTGTGCACAAGTTCACTCTGGGTGTGATCACCACTCCAAGCCCACAGAAAAAAAAACAAGGAGGAGTGTGTGAAGGAACCTTTTTGGGCCATGACTAGCTCTGGCTCTTATCTCTTCTGATCAGTTTCCACTGCAGAGGATTTGTCACATGACCACACCTGACTGCAAGGGAGCCTGGGAAATGTAGTGCAGCTAGGCAGGCATAGCCCAGCTAATGTAGAAGAGCATGGTGTTTGGACATGTAGCAGCTTCTGCCGCAGCACGCTTAGCAGAGTGCCTGGTGCATAGCAAATGCTTAACAAACCTTAATTATTCCTTTTATCTTGTTGAGTGTTATCATTACTTTTCTGTATTCCTTTCTTTTGGTATCAGTCCAAAAAAGGGGGATTTCTAGAATGAGCAAAGCTGTTTGGGGTTAGTTTGGGAAAGCTTCCCAGAGGAGGTGGGATGGGAAAAATGAAAGGATATTTCTGGTCTGTGAAGACTGCCCATGTAGGTCAGAGAGGAGCAGGAAAGTGGAAATACTACAGCTCTTTCTCCCTCCACTTCATTTCTGTGGTCTTCTAGGAAAATATCATTTCCCCTATGGAGGACTCTCCTATTCCTGACATGTCTGGGAAAGAGTCTGGGGCTGATGGGGCAAGCACTTCTCCCCGCAATCAGAACAAGCCCTTCAGGTGAGTGTAATCCTATCCATACCCCACAGCCTGACTTCTGCTTCTGTTGGCTTCTGTTCATCCCCACATTGAGAGGTCCTTATTAATAGAGAAGCTGAGGGCAGTTTGGTAAACCCGATGAAGGTCTTAGATGTGAGTGCTGGCCCAGCATTTCTGCATCCACAGATTCAGTCTAGGGTTATTCATCATGGCACTGTTCATACTGTAAATAACCTAAATGTTCACCTGCAGGGGATTGGTTGGCTAAATTGTCATAACTCCATATGATGAAATAACTTGCAACTATTAATCATATTAGAGAAATATACTTAATTGACATGAAAAGGTGTAAACAATAGAGTGCCAAATGGGGAAAATGTCAGTTGTAGTCTAGTATAGACAGCATGATTCTATTTTTACTTAAAATATAATTAAGTATATGCACATACAGGGGGAAAAAACCTGGAATAATATATAGAAAAAGATTGAAAATAATATAACAAAATCTGGAAAAAAAAAACTATAATAATATATAGTAAAGTTATAGAAATACGTAAAAAATAATAGTAACATATAACAAAATAAATGATTCTCTCTGGGTTGTTGGCATTATGGGTTTTTCTGTATTTTTTGGACAATAGATATATGTTGCTTGTGTTTTAAAACCAGACCAAAAGATTAAAAAAAAAGACCAGATATATATGTCTTCCTCTGTTTTTATATCTGGATAGATATAGAGGGGTTCCCAAATTGAAAGGAAGGTGTTCACTCACATTGGGGAACCCTGGGAACCTCTGAGGTGGACCCCTGTGCAAGCTGTCCCTGGAGCTGAAGGGGTCGCTCTCTGGGCCTGCTTCTCCCACAGTGTGCCGCATACTAAGTCCCTGGAGAGCCGCATCAAGGAGGAGCTGATTGCCCAGGGCCTTCTGGAGTCTGAGGACCGCCCTGCGGAGGACTCGGAGGATGAGGTGCTCGCTGAGCTGCGCAAACGACAGGCCGAGCTGAAGGCGCTCAGTGCCCACAACCGCACCAAGAAGCACGACCTGCTGCGGTGAGCAGGGGCAGGGCACGTGGTCTAGGGGCTGAGGCTTCCCAAACCTGGCTGGGCCTCTAAATCACCTGGAGAGCCTTGAAAAAAATATCAGTACTGAGCTCCACCCCACTGGTTATGTCTCAGATTCTAATTCCACCGATAGGGCTCAGGCATCTGGATTTGCTTTGATGTTTTAATTGTGAAAAGATATAAAATTTACTCTCTTAACCATTTTTAAGTGTACAGTTCAGTAGTATTAACTATATTCACGTTGTGATTCATATTGTATAGTTTACTTCTAAGTCTTTTCAAGCTTTTGTCCCCCTCAAAGTTTTACTATGAGAAGTTTCATACACACAGAAAATTTGAAAGAATAATACAGTGAACACCAATATACTTTCCACCTGGACCAATTAACTGCTAACTTTTTGTTGGACATCTGTGATTTTTATTGGCCCAACACCAGAAATTGACCAGTGTTTTAGGGCCAGTTATTTAGGGAATTAGCCACAGTGCCATTCATTTGATATCAATTCCTGTCTATCTTGTCCTGCATTGGTCACAACAAGGGTGTAGGTGGCATTTTGAGGGAGACTGGTGGTAGCTGCCCTTTCATTAGGGAGATAGAGAAGCAACCCGAACAAGTCTCCTTGCTTCTCACAGGAGCTATGTCTTAGCCTTACAGAGCCCCGACAGGGCAGGGCACGCTTATTCATTTGGCCCGCTCTTACTGTCTCTCAGCCAGACACTGTGCTGGGGGCTAGGAAAAGAGGCAGAGCAAAGGATTTGCAGTCTTCTGGTAGATGATTGGTAAAGACATGCACCATGAAAAGGAGAGGTAGTTGCTGACAAGCTGCTAGGGTATTTAAGGTTAAGGAAGACTAATGTGTGCTGAGTGCCTGTCATGTGCCCAGAGCTTTATGTACACACTCTCATTTAATGTTGACAGCAACCAAAGGGATAGGTGGTAGTTTCCCTGTTTACCAGATTAGGAAATAAAGGCCCCGTGAAGTGAAGTGCTTTGCTGAAACTCACATGCCCAACAACCAGCCAAGCCTAGACTTGAGCCCACAGCTGAATCCACGCTCTTTCTGGTTCATGTTGCCTCTCAAGGGCAAGAAAAGGAAAATACAGATGAAAGAGGCACCGAGGGAGGGAGAGAGAGAGGAAGAGAGAGGAAAGCAGGAGTGTGCAGTTGGAGAAGTACTGGGTGGTGAAGAAATAACTTGGGGCTATCAGAAGGCCAGAGGACTGCTGCAGACCAGCTTCAGGGCCTAAGCAAGGTACCCCCTGATTTGAGCAGCTGCTTCCCCTTCTGGAAAACTGGCAGTTTGGACTAGATCTCTAAGTGACCTTCCAGCTTCACCTTCAGTAGAATTTACAGGTCGGATCCTATTCAGAGGGATTGATTTGGCATCTTACCCACCTCCTGTAGGCCTCAGGCTGCCTAGACCCTTAGGTTGCCCTGGAATATGGATGCTGAAGTAAGCTGGGCTTCTGCTGGCAACAGAGCACCTTTTATTTTATTTATTTATTTATTTATTTATTTATTTATTTTATTTTATTTTTTTTTAAAGATGACCCGTAAGGGGATCTTAACCCTTGACTTGGTGTTGTCAGCACCATGCTCAGCCAGCGAGCTAACCGGCCATCCCTATATGGGATCCGAACCCGGGGCCTTGGTGTTCTCAACATCGCACTCTCCCGAGTGAGCCACAGGCCGGCCCAACAGAGCACCTTTTAAAGAACATTGTTTAGAAACAGAGTTTGGAGCCGGCCTGCTCCAGCTCTCCCACTCACTAGTTGTGGGATCTTGGGACATTTCTTGTCCTCTTTGAGCTTCAGTTTTCTTACTGGTAACACAGGAGTAATAGTACTACTTCACAGAGTTGTTATGACAGTTAAGTTTATATATTTCCTCAGAAATATATAAATAATATGTGATATATATATATATATTTTAAAGAGCTTAAAACAGTGCTTAGCACACAGTGCCATATAAGTGTGGTTCAATAATTGCTTTTTGGTCGTGATTATGTGAAATGGTCCCCAGGAGTCCCAGCTTGGGATGGTGGGTGGGCTGAGTCTGGGAGAGGGAGGGGTGACCAGGCACCCAGCCGGCGGGTCCCCACAGGCTGGCAAAGGAGGAGGTGAGCCGGCAGGAGCTGAGGCAGCGGGTCCGCATGGCAGACAACGAGGTCATGGACGCCTTTCGTAAGATCATGGCTGCCCGGCAGAAGAAGAGGACCCCCACCAAGAAGGAGAAGGACCAGGCCTGGAAGACTCTGAAGGAGCGCGAGAGCATCCTGAAGCTGCTGGATGGGTAGCCCTCACGCCTGCCTCGGCTCCTTCCCTGACCTGCGGGAGCGGTGGGGGTGGCCCGCTTCCCTCTCTGGGCATGGAGAGCCTTGGCTTCTGGCTGCCTGCCAAATGGTGACAGTCTCTAGAAGACTGTGGTCCTTCTCTGAGGTCTTTTGGCCTAGCTCTGTACAGCCAGGACATAGGAGGCCTTGCTGGGCTGGCCTGGGGCCCAGTATTTCCTTGGCCCCCAAGATGGGAGGAGCTTTATGTCTGGGTCTCCCTCTTCCCCTTCTTCACCATCCCCCAGTCCCTCACCCCAGACCCCTCTCTCCCCCTCAAGGACTTCTCCCTTGTGGTTTTGTAAAGTGCAAACTTAAGAATAAAGTGACTGCTGTGGTTTTTCAAAAAAAGCACCCAGAGTCTTTGAATGTCTGTTCTTGTGGGGTAGGAAGTAACCAGTGTGGGTGGCAAGGTTCAAGGGGCACACTTGGTGGCTCACAGCCTGTGGCCACTCACCCATGATATTCATTCAGGGAGAACTTTCTGAGCACCTTTCTGAGGATACTTGTGGCTGCAGGTAACTGGACATCCCCAGTTCAAGGTGGATTAACAATAAGGAAATGTGTTGGCTGGGGGCTTGGCGGTCCTGGAACAGGGTGGCCTTCAGCAACTCAACAGGGACATCGAGGGTCCAGGGTCTGTAGGTGTCTCCACTGCCCTCCACTGTGTCAGCTTTCTCTTGAGATGGGTTCCCCTCTGGCTGTGGGGTAGCAGTTGAGGGCAAATGCTTCCTCATTTATGTCCAGCATGGGAGAGAGCAGGAGCCGCTGGCTTCTGTGGCCCACCCTAAAGAGCAAGAAGCCCTTTGCCAAATACCCTTATGTCTCAGTGGTCTCAAACAAGGTCTCATATGCCCATTCCTGAAACGGTCACTGTGGCAAGGGATGACTAATGGATTTAAACTAGTTACAGTGGAGTCTGCCAGCCCACTAAGCTTAAGGCAGTGGAGAGAGTGGAACCTGACAAGATGGGAGTAGGGAGGGAGAAGTGAACATCCCTTCCATAGCCTGGGCACGAAGCAAGACCTAAGAGATACAGGTGAATAAATATGCTCTGGTCCCTGCCTCAAGTTGTTCCTAGACTATTCTGACAGGGAATACGTTGCCATTTACTGTGGGAAGGTCGAGGTGCACATGGGATTGGAGACGGGCAGGTTCCCTGAGGAAGTGACCTATGAACTGAGTCATAGAGAAGTATAGTGCGGACTGGCTGTTTAGCTGAGATGGCTACAGTGTGGGGTTACAACACCAAAGTCAAGGGCTTGGATGGATCCCTATACTGGTCAGCCACCAAAAAAAAAAAAAAAAAGATGGCAAGGACAGCCAACATTTTTGTATATGCAGCACCTTTCTTTCTGTTTGGCAAATGTCCTTTCCCCATCACATGTGGCTCTCATGGGATTGTCAAACTAGGGTGGACACGACCCCAATTTGGACACAGTACCCACCCCTCTAGCCACAATGATTGGACCAAGTGGGCGTGAGACCCAAGCTGGGACACTCAGAGGCCTTCCATAAGATTGCTCTATGGTTGTGAGAGGAGAGTTTCACTTCTTTTTGGATCACAAGCCATAGACTATAAATTCAGAACACCCAGTGACCTGCTGTCCTGCTGTGTGGAAGAACCTGCCTGAGAATAAAACCAACAGAGAAGCAGAGCCAGGAGATGGAGGAGACAGAGTTCTAATGATATAGCTAGAGCGCTGGATCCAGCCATACCGGAAACCACTGGCTCCTCCATTGGACTTTCCAGTCATGTTAGCCCACATATGCTTCTTTTGGCTTGAGCTAGTTTGTTCTGGAGTTTTGTCATTTGTAATTTTAAAAGGCTTGACTAATAAAAATGGATTTTGGCAAAAAGAAAGATGAAGGAGGGCCCTGAGAGAGGGGACAGCAGGAGGCCCTGCCTGCCACTAGTTGCAGGGCCAAACTGCTGCAACTTTTCAGTGACTCATTGTCACCAGGTTGCTCATAGCCTTCTCAGAGAGAAAAGACACCCACACATGAAACAATGAGAAAAGAGCTATAATAATGATTATGATATGAAGTGCACAGTAAATGTTAGCACCAGGCACTGTTCTCATTCAACTACCTGATCTCAACTATGCCATATTGGTAGGTACTAATAACATCCCATTCACAGATAAGGAAAGTGAGGCTTAGGAGGTTACAAACCTTGCTCGGTGAAATAATTGAGTGGTGAGCCAGGATTCAAACTCAGGCCATTTGACTGGCAGACAGAGCCTCTTCATTACACAACCCATTGGGGCCCCACTCCTATTACAGTCTATGTGAATGGTACTCCCTGCACTTGGGCAGTTCTCAACCTGTGCAGCCATATGTGACAACCCTGCTTGCAGACCCCCTGCTCTTAATTAACCACTCACTTTCATTTTCATTAGGCCAGACCATAAGTATGATAGGCGTCATTGGTAAATAGCTCCAGGAACAGAGACAGTTTTGCGGAGGAGGTGGGATTGGAGCCTAGGTCCCCAAATTGGGTAGAATTGTTAACTGAGATGAGGAAGGTAGATACGGTATTATAAATAGAGGGAAGAACACTAGAAGACTGACTGGGCCTGGTTCATTAGGGAAGAGATGTAACTTTCAGGGATTGGTCATGGGAACTCTGATTATTATCTATTGCACAGGTACTATCTGCCTGGTTCTGTGCTGGGCCTTTCATCCACACATCTTATTTCGTGCTCACCACACAACTACGGGATGTGTAGTACTATTCCTTGCCTGCAGAGGACATGAGGCTCAGAGAGGTTCAGAGCGTGGCTGAGGCTACACAGCCTTGGTGCAGGAATGGTTAGTGTCCACAGGTAGCACTATGCCTGACAGTGTTCTTATGGCCATATTGTGTCTGCTGGGGCCTAAGGAGGCCTCCTTTATGGGGTCTGGAAGAAGCTAGGTTCCCTGTGAGGAGGGAGAGATTAGTTCCAGCACTTCAAAGTCCTCAGATTTGAGGGCCGGACTGTGGCTCACTCGGTAGAGTGCGGTGCTGATAACACCAAGGCCACGGGTTCGGATCCTATATAGGGATGGCCGGTTCGCTCACTGGCTGAGCGTGGTGCTGACAACACCAAGCCAAGGGTTGAGATCCCCTTACCGGTCATCTTTTAAAAAAAAAAAAAAAAAAAGACAAAGTCCTCAGTTTTGATTTGAAACGATCCTGACACCCTATCACCAGTTTGGGAGAAAAGTCTTCTGTGTCCTGGCCCTAGAAGACATCTACCATGCATAATAACATTGTTTCTCCAGAGTCCCAAATGCCTAACACTGACTTTTGGAAACACTAGATAAGTGAGGACAGGGAGGTTAAGCCCTGACCCACAGTGGGTCCCCAGGCCCTGTAAGCTTATAAACACTCCGGGTCCCAGTTGACTCTGGCTGAGAAGGAAGCAATGGCTGAAACTGTGGAAACAGAATCAGGGAGTAAATTTCTTTCCTGGCCTGGGGCTCAGGACTCAGTGGAGAGAACTGCGCACAGACAGACCGTAACTCACTTGTTCGTGTATTAACTCACTCTTCAGCTGTTCTCTTCACTCACCTGTTACTCCGTTCACTGTTCACTCTAACTACTCGCCTCCATTTCCTCATTCACGCTTTTGCTTCCTCACTCAGTGACCCTGTCGCCATGGCTGAGTGCTGTGGAGGTGACTAAGGCTCCAGAGATGGGGAGATCACTGGACGATCAGAATACAAGGCAATAAGAGCAATAATAGAAGAATGTACAAAGTCTGCAGGGATCTGGAGCAGAAAATAACAACAGCGGCTTAGACAGTCATTGGCAAAGCCTTCAGGGAGGAGGTGGAAAGAAAGTTGTTGGGCAGAAGATGACATTCCAGACAAAAGAAGCAGCAAGGCATAGAGGTGTGAACAGCTGGCCAGCTTAGAGAGAGGTGAGAACATCAGTGTGACTGGAGCCTGGGGTGTGTGGAGGGGGAGGGGAAGGGGAAGTGATGAAGCTGGAAAGTAGGTTGAGACCAGGTTGGGAGAGGCTTTGGATAGCAGGGTAAGGAGCATGAGCTTTATTCTTCATGTCAGTGAATCTGCAAGTGTGAGCCCTGGACTGGCAGTGTCAGCATCACCCGGGAACTTGGTAAACATGCAAATTCTCAGGCTCCGGACCTACTGAATTAGACATTCTGGGACTGGGGCCCAACCATCTCTGTTTCAACATACCCTCCTGGGGATTCCTGACGCACATTAAAGTTTGAGAATCACTTTGCTAGGTAGTAGGGAGCCCAGGGTGGTTTGTGAGCAGGTTAGTGCCATAATAGCACTCTAAATCAGGAAGTACTCTGATAGCAGCACGGAGGCTGGACTGATTAAAGGGGATGAGAGTGAAGTTGGGACAGATGGGAGCATAAACGTGCAAGGATGGCGAATGTTGTAGAAACCAGTAGATGTTCTCCAAAATACGTTCTCCCTCTCTTCTACAGTAATAGAACCCCTGATTTTTAGCTGGACATGAGCTTCTGAAGACTAAATATCCCAGCTTCCCTTGCAGTTAGGTGTGGTCATGTGACAAAGTTTTGGCCAATGAGATGTGGGTGGAAGAGATGTGTATAAACTATGAGGTCAAGGAGTTTCCCCTCTGTGCTCCCTTTTCACTCTAGCTAGCATGAGACATGGTGGCAAGCCATCTTGAAACATATGGCCAAAGACAACACCAAGGCTGGCCAGTTAGCTCAGTTGGTCAGAGCTCAGTGTTATAACACCAAGGTCACAGATTGGATCCCTGTGCTGGCCAGCCACCAAAAAAAAAAGGTAACACCATAGCAACGGTGGAGCAACAAGATAAAAAGCCAGGGTCCCTATTACCTTGTCGTCATACCAATCTTGGACTGCTTATGGCCAGACTGTTATACACTCCATTTTGTTTAAGTCACAGTCATTTCAGGTGAAGTGCAAGCAAAGCCCATGTAGAAAAAAAAAGTTATTTTAGGTGTCTGTTAGGGAAACCCAAACCTGCATTCTTTCCAACTGTACCTGCTTCCTTCCCTTCCTATCCTTTGCCCTTCCCCTCCCTCCCTCCCTCCCTTCCTTCCTTCCTTCCTTCCTTCCTTCCTTCCTTCCTTCCTTCCTTCCTTCC